CAAAGCAAGATGATGATCAAGTTCGCTTTTTCTACCCAATCTTGTAGGAACAGAATACGATAAAGCAAGCATTCCTATCTGAAAAGCTGATTCACTTAAGCTTTCCTACCTACATACTTTGCCACATCTTACTAATGCATTTTGTGTTTCATTTTGGCAGATTGAAAAAAATCACGAACTGATAGCTTCAAGATGGCAGAGGCATACTCTCTGTCTTTCCATACTATTGGAGCAGACAACAATGCTATGACAGAACTGGAGACTGGATACCCTACGCAAAAAATAATTATGATAGTTTCGATTCCAATCTGCACTTTAGGATTGCTTGGGAATGCAATTATCTTCTGCCTTCTCTGCTGCACGATCAAGAAAACTAACTTTACTGTGTATTTCCTAAATTTGGTAGTGGCTGATTTTACTGTACTAATCTACTATGTTATTGTTTTTATTTTATTTTTGAAAGCAGTTCCTATCAGTCTGTATTACTTACATATAATGGAGCTGGCACATGCATTTGGGTTCAATGCCAAGACCTACGTGCTAACAGTTATCACTGCCGAAAGGTATATCATGGTTTTTTTCCCAGGTTGGTATCAACAACACCGCCCCAAGCATTTCTCAGAAATCATGTGTGCCATTTTGTGGGTCTTATCTGGCCTGCTAGCCATCGTGTTATATTATGCTTGCTATCTACAGACTGATCCATCACTCAAGGAAGCTAACCAGCATTGTGAGCCTACAAAAATGGTCCGAGTAATAATCAACCTCCTGGTTTTCCTTCCCATCATGATATTTTCTACGTTTCTTCTTTTCACAAGAATGCTGACTATATCTCAGGAAGCCCCTCTGGCAAGACTTGATATCACTATAGTGGCCACCGTTCTTCTGTTTCTTCTCTTTGCTGCTTCAGTGAGAATTATTGAAATCATAGCACGTTGGGTTCCAAAAATCCATATTCCAATAGTCTTTCTCATTTTTCATTTTCTTGATGCCATTGACAGCAGTGGGAACCCCTATGTCTATCTGATTGTAGGCTACTCAAAGGCAAAGATTGATAGTGAAAAACCTTTCCAAACATTACTGGAGAGAGCTCTGCTGGATGATGGAACAACAGAAGGCTAGGCAGGAGCTTAATCAAGAAGATTGTACATAAAGATGCTATCAAATATTATGCACATTGTACTGGTTATTGCCTTAAGTTCCAGAATAAATGGATTGCAGATACTGTGGTATTGTTCCTTACTTCTAACGTACCCACAAGTTTCTACAGCCATGCTTACCTTCTACAAACAACTTATCTCAAATCTTTAGCCATTACTTACAATCAAGACATTGTCTTTTCAATACATTACTTAAGGCTGTGCCTCATGGCTGCATTAAAAAAAAAAAAAACTGTTCTTTGAGCTGCCTTGATGACCAGTCCCTATTCTGCATCAGTAATGAGGCCAGCAGTGGTACTGTCCTTAAAGATTTAATGCAGGGCAAGTTAAGGAAAGCAGTTGGTGGATTCCCCTGGCTTCATTTCCCCTCCCACCAAACATCACCACCAAGAAAAACTTCAACCAAAATTTACTCTCCTTAAAGTGGGCTGGGATCGGGATGAGGTAAGAGTTGACTCACAGCTAGACCTGTGGACGATTTGGACTGTGATAGATTTGGACGGATTTGTATCAATTCATGCATATGTTTTTGGATTTGAATTGGATCTGATCTGGCAACTTAATGTGATTTAAAAATCCATAATGTAGAGGAATTTAGCTTTGGCATTGAGAAGAGGAGTAGGAGTGGTGAACCAATTACTCAGCCCCAGGAAAGTACAAAGCATGATAAAGAGACTAAGAACAGCCACACCTTGACCTTGTTGACCTTAAAAAGGGGCAGTGAAGGTTTTGGACAGTCTTTTAAAATTAACATACCCTACACCAATAGTGTAGCATTTCTGGAGTCCCTGCGGTCTCTGTTTCCTAACTGGCTGACTTTGAAGGGCTGACTGAACTGATTGTTCAGATAGATTGGGAGTCACTTGCACAGATTTAATTCTTTCAGATCAAGTGCATTTCTTGGAAATACTGTAAGCACCTTCTTGTTATAGAAAAGAATACTGTATTTTTCAAATGGAAAAAAATAATAATAAAATGAGCAGCCTGTAACTATACACATCAAACTAGGTACCTCTCTTCTATAAATTCTTTTTAAAAAGAATGCCACAGCAACTAGCATCAACTCCAATGAGTCTCAAATTGTCCATAACAAACTAAGAATGAAAGCTGGGTCTGGCATATCTTCACCTGCCAATCTGTTTTCATTTGAGCCCCTCCTGGAATGTAGTACTCTGTTTTTTTCCTGAATTCCTATAGATTCAGGGTAAAAATGTTCCTCTCCTACCTACTGTATTTTTCTTTTCTCCAAATTTATCAGGTCTTTTTTCTCTTTTGGGTGGAGGCTGGGGGTCTCCCACTGTGTGGGTCAAGCTTTTTTGCAATTAAGTGGAGTATCAAGACTCTTTAGAGTAGGCCTCAGCCAATATTCATAAAAAAGGAACGGAAAATAGGGCTAGGTATCCTCTGGATGATTTATTGCCTTCTTTTTGCAGAATTACTCAAGGATATTTGAAATACTTGCAACTTATGTTACAGGATGAAAACAAAAAAGGGAATTAGGAAAGAAGAAAAGAAAGTCAGAACCGGTTCTTTTCATTTTGTTATCTGAAATTATATTCACTATTCTCTAAAATGCCTAAATATTGCAACAAAGAGGAATATTCAGTTCAAGAGAAAATTATGGAAAGGCAGGAGTTAAAGTAGCAGTTGGTAACAACAAAGCTAGCATGTGCTTGACTCTAGTCTCTTCAAATTCTTGCATGCAGATGTATGTAGCACATCTGCAAGCTGCCTGTCAAGTGCTCTGGCATTCATCCTTGCTCCTGAAGCTGAACCACAAAATGGTCTAGGATTGGAGAGATTTAGTTCAAATCCACCCTGCCATGGAAGCTCACTAGTGACTTTGGGCCAGCTGGTATCTCTCAGCCAATTTACTCCACAGGGTTGTTGTGGAGATTAACCGGAGGCAGCAGCAGTACTATCTAGAGCGTGAGCTCCTGAAGGAAAGGTAGATATTAATGTAATAATAAAATTTTAAGAATGCATAATGTAACTGTACAGAATCACACAAGAAAGTTCTTGCAGAGAATTCCTATCCCATCTTACCATTAAGTTCTGGACCTTTTCTGAAACCACCACAAAATTCAACTTCGACTTTATTGTGCTCAATATCCAGTCAGTGTAACATACAAAAATACTGAGACGCTATACAGAGACATTTCTGTTTTGTACTCTTATCTTGTGTTAAAAAAAAAAAATCCATAAAGCATTTATGGGTAAGGGAATTAAAAAAAAACTGCTCAGAGAGTTCACACATTGCCTTCTAGGTCCAGCTCATCTGCCAGGCCAATGAAATCTACTGACATCCAAACCTCCAGACAATAGATTAGTGATGGCTTTGAAAATGTCACCACGCTGGAAATAAGAACCACTGTGAGGTCATAAGGTTCTCATATTCCTTGGCTGTGCTAGAACGTATCACCAAAGTTGTTCACACCTTGTATTAAGCTTCTGAGAAGAAAAGAAAGAAGATAGAAACAAAGTTGAAAAAAATGGAGAGGAACCATGGAGGTAATTTAAATGATAACTTGTCTGTTCTATATTGGGAACATTGGGAAGTTGCCAGGTTCATCCTTCTGGAGAATTAGATATTTTATTTCCTATTTCTTATTTTATTTTTCTCCAGAGGACACCAAATCAGTAACTATAATATGCATATATGTCTGTACCTTCTGACATCTTTCCAGAAGCAAGTCTGGATTGCGATGTCAGAGTTGGACTCTCCATGATGCAGAAACAAGATGGGTAACTTTTTAGAAGAGGTGGGGAGGGAAGCCCCTCAGCACATGCCCTCTAGAATTGTTTCACCTCCAGAAAGTCTTGTGCCAGGAGAATCCCCAGAACCATTCGGCCTCTTTCGGGCTTCACAGGTTGAATCTGGAGGCCATCATTTTCTCATCCCTGACTTGGATGCTTGTATCTAGCTGGGCCTTGTAACTCTTTCCAGTTCTGCTTAAAACAAAATATAGTCCAAGGTCCTATTGAATTCTTGCTCTGTTCTTCTTGAGTAGGGGCTGCTGTGCCTAAATATAAACACATCCACATATACATTTGTTTCCCAAGTATGGCTGATTTTTCAACATAAATGCTTACCATCAGTAATGTGGTGTCCAAAGGGACTGAATTTGTGCAAGGTTCCCTTTTACTGAATGTCAGTTGGGTCTCACATCTTGAAATGTTAGTTGGGAATAACCTAAATAGATGAGGCAATATTTTTAAGATGCTAGCATCTCTTGTCTTTAAAAAGAAATTAGACAATTGATGGAGAATGGGCCATCTAGATCCAGTTATCATTAGATCTCTGTTCAGAATCAGCTGGTGACTAAAATGCATCAGAATGTATGTTTGTAGCATTGTGCACATTGTTGGGAGTAGGTTTTGGCAAGTAGGTTTGGCAAAGGACATCATAGGTATAGCATTTTCAGTGAAATCATCATATTATTAACGGCGTTATAATGGATAAGCCAAAGGACATTTCCAGAAGTCAGAATAGCATCCTAGGATGTATTAAAATCTTAACATAAACTTATTTTCTGACTCCCAGAAAATATATGTCAGCATATATTCCAGTTAGCACGTTTTATCTCACAATAAATCTGGGTGAGAGAAACACAATAACCCTAGTATTATTGCCAGACAAGTGATGCTTTTGAGTGTTTCCTACTTCTGTAAAACATTTCAGCGGCTTAATAATGAAAATTGTGTTTAATTTTGGCAGACTGAGAAGAATGATTGAACACTGACCATGTCATGATGACAGAAACAATTACTTTGTCTTCCCACACTATTACAATTAAAAAAAATCATACACAGCTAGAGAATTGGTCACAGAAAGAAACTTTCCGGCAAATAAGCAGAGGATTTTTCTTGGAAATGGTAACAGCCATATCCATTCCAATCTGCTTCTGGGGATTAGTTGGGAATGCAACTGTCCTTTGGCTTCTCTGCAGCAAGGTGAAGAAGACAACATTCATAGTTTATGCTCGCAATTTGGTAATGGCTGAGCTTATTGTGGCTGCTTACTTCTTTATAGTGTTTAGTTTATTTCTGTCAACATTTCATGTCAATTTGTATTTTTCACGAGCAATGGAGAATATTTATTCATTTGCATACAATGCCAACATTCATTTATTAACTGTTATGTGTGTTGAAAGGTATTTCATGGTCTTTTTCCCAGACTACTATCAACATCACCGTCCAAAGGATCTCACAAAAAATATGTGCTTTGTTATATGGTTCTGGGCTTGCCTAATGGCACTGGTGATGTATGTTGCCTGCTACCCAAGATTTCTTTCATCTCTCTATCCGAGCAACCCCTACTGTGAAGCTACAATATTATTTGAAACCATTGTCTACCTGATGTTTTTGTTTCCCATCATGTCCTTTTCTGCTTTGTCCCTTTTTATCAGAATGCGGAGAAGAGCAAAGCAAAGCCCCCAATTAAGAATTGATCTCACCATCATTATCCTGGTTGCCATTTCTCTTATTTTTGTTTTTACACTTCGCGTTGTTGATTTCCTATCCCACTGGGACAAAACACTAAGTGGACCAATCACATATCAACTCTCTCTGTTGTTTGATTCCATCAAGAGCAGCATCACTCCTTTGGTCTATTTCTTTGTTGGAAATCGGCAAAGGCAGAGGACCACAGAACCTATGTATGTGTTGCTTGAGAGAGCTTTGCAACATAAAGAGAGCCCAGATGCTGCACGCACCAGTAAGCTGAACCTGGACACAGATGAACTCGGACCTCAGAAATGAAAAAAGATAGACATGCCTGATGTTGGGTAACTTTTTCTTTCCCGAACAGGCACATTGCAGATATATTTACTGTTTGTTCCTTCTTAGTTCACTACCTGGTGCTTTTAGAGGAATCAAGCTCATGTTTTAAAAAATGGGATTGTAGGACTTTAAAATATAATAGGGCAAAAAAGGGGGCCGCTCTGCCTGGGGGAAAATGTCCTCAAAAAGCATAAGTGTGATCAAATAAAAACGAAAACTACAGAGCATGGACTGTTCATATTGTTTTGCTAAAAATAAAAATAGCACTATTTACCTGAACCATTTCATTGCATGTGTGGCCTCTGTAGCTGGAATAATTTCTTTGAAGAATAGGAAATGGTTGTACAAATAGGAATGTGTGCATTTTCTGTATTCAACAGGATGAGAAAAAGAATGACAGAAGAGAACAGACAGAAGATGCTACCTCTGTCAGCACTTTATGAAAACATAGAAACACTGGGAATGCTACTATGCATGATAATGCCAAGGAATAGAACAGCATAGCCTTTCCTTACTCAATGAATTAAATTTCTTCATTAATTAAGTTAAGAACATACATTTACTGAGTACACTAAAACACTCTTGAATCTGAAACACTCTTGAAACACTCTTTGATCCGCCTATTACACTGTTGATAAGTCATCAACCAACACACACACTGATAAAATGTCACTGCTCAAGAATAGATGAAGATAAAAACAGCATATCCTATAGTGTTATAGAATTATATCCTATGAATAATGAATTCCTTAAAGAGGAAATTTCACATGGGGGCTACAACATCAAAAATACTTGTATTTATCTTAAATGGAGGTGACATCAAAGGCTCTATTAAATGTCAGCATGAATGGTAAGGAAAATATATGGTACCATTGTTATTACTATGACTAGCTGGGGTTAAGATAACTGAAGTCTTGAAAGATAAAACCAATGATTTTCATACAGGATTGTTATAAACCAAGATAGAGGTTTGTCAAGATGATCCCATAGAATCTCCTTTTTGTGTAATATATGACCTAACATTTTGATTCTAAAATGTTGTAAGCTGAGCTATCAATACTTTTGATAGCATTGGTTGGTCAAGGGGCAAGTAAGAGTTGTGGTTTGTATTTCAGTTGCCCAGGGAGGATACTGGGACAGGGGAGAAAACTAGCTTAGCCTGTGGTTTTTAATCAGTCTGAGATGGCAATTAAGGAAGAGGCAGAGAACTTGCATTCTACAATAAACTCTGCAACCTAAGAAGGAAACTGTTGGGAATGGCAAGGCTGCTAACCTCCTATCTTATGTTCAACCATAGTTGTCAACTTGAGATATCATCACTGCTTGCACAACAGTGACCAAAAAGGAGCACACTAAGATTACCAGTCATGACTGATACCTGGATATTCAGCTGCCCCTATGCTATGAAGTTCCCTCCCTGTAGAGCTCCGGTCTACCCTTCCCCTCCTGAATTTCAGGAGAGCAATTAAGACTTGGCTTTTCCATCTAGCCCGAGAGGAAGGCTTGGTATAAATGTTGGGATGCATTGGCAAACACATGACTTTTATATGTTTCTTTCTGTCCCTTACAATGTGGTTGGGATAGCTTACTATTCTTTGGGGACAGGTAGGTAGGTTTGCTTGTTTATTTATTTTGGAAGGGTTCTTTTTATAACATTTATGTTGCTACCCACTCAGAGATTAGCCACTTCCAGAACTGGTGGCACAGAAATACATAAATAAATAAGACAGCAAAGAAAAATAGAATTTATATCTACAGTATATAGAATGCAATGTGTTGTAAATCCCTCCTTGACAATTTAATGTAGATATTTAAAGCTCTGGTCATCAACCACAATAAAGGATTTTATTTGATATTTAAAGCTGTGGGAGAAAACATTTTAGCACCCTCCAAAATCAGGTAAAGTTCTTACAGAAAAAAGAATCAGTGTCCTAGTGTCATTCTCTAGACAACTGCCAAAAGTGGAAGGTCTGCCCTTTCTAATCATTTCTAATCATTCTAATCAGGCTGACCTAAGGATGATCATAGCTGATAAAATCAAAATGTATTCTAAAGTTAAAAAACAAAACAGGAAGGACACATATTCCCTCTTTCTTCCTCACAACAATTCATCTACAAGACAGACTCTGAGAATTGAAGACAGATTAAAATAGGTCTCAAGTGATTCTATTGTGAACATTACCATACTATTAATAACCAGTGCTCTGAGGTCATGAGATTCTAGTATTCCATTTGTTACACAAGAAACACATCATAATGGTGGAGCCAGCCCTATCTTGGCAGAATTATTACAGTATTGTGAAAAACAGAAGTTTGAGCAATGAAGACTAAAAGGAAAACCGGAATGTGATGTTAGTATTGATTATTGTGTTTAGCAGATGTTTATGTCAGTTTATTTTTTTTTAAAACTACATATCACAACATCATTAAGTGGCTGATTAAGATGCTTATAGGAACGTGCCAAAAATACAGTGTAGTACAGGTAGTCCCTGGGTTAAGAACTACCAGGTTACAGATGACTCATAGTTAAGAATGGAGCCTACTGTAGCAAAATTCGAGTTAAATACACAATGATTTGAGTTAATTACACAACACTACTTATATAGTATTATACAATAATACTGTTCCAGCTTACATACAAATTCAGCTTAAGGACAGACCTGGGGAATGGAACTCGTTCTCAAACTGGGGACTGCCTGCATATGATTTATATTTCCTGAGAACATCCAGTCAGTGAATAGATTGTTCATTGATCACCGCAGAAATAATATACCTGAGTTACAGAAAACAAAATAAAACTCAAGGATTTTAATCATATTTTCCTGGAAAGAGGGATAATGTCCATGCCACAGATCTGAACCCAAGCACTATGAATTAGCCACACGTTTCTCCTTTGACTCTGAGACTGATGTTCAAATGAGACTGCTACAGATAATTCGAACTAGAGGTTTGGCAGGTTTCTTCTGGCTTTGGAAGACATTAATGTTTGAAGATCAGTCAAGTGCCATCCATAATGGCAACAGGCTGACATTCCTCACACGTGCCGACTCAGTGGAAGAAACCGTGCCATCCCTCTTTCTTGCTTTAAGCCTTCCTATCTCCAGCCCATTTATCTCTGACCTGTACATTATGATCCAGCATTCAATCCTACTTGCCTTGCCACATTTGACCAGGTTCTTTACCAATCTACTACAATCAATCAATTTCTCCAACCCTTACTTTATCTACTACTTTAATCTGGGAAGATGTTTCTGGGCTATTGATACTTTCAACACTTCTAACATTTTTTTCTCCAGAAGTAACTGACAGTATAGAGTTACTAATATAATTACATAATGTTGGAAATGCATTGCTTATCTATTTTGGGAAGCAAGTTTTAGGAGGCAGAAAAGTGCTTTTACTTTTTATATGAAGTTATTTGGTTATCTCTCTCTCTCTCTCTTTTTTGGCCTGGCAATCACAGAAACTGGCAGAGAGCTGCTTGTAACTAATTAAGTGCCATTTAACAATACGCTTTTGCTCTTCCCACCCAAGTGTTGTTATTGAAAAAATTTAAGTGCTGAAAACTAAGATAATGCAACCCTAGTTGGAACAGAGTTTATTAGAAATTATGCTGAAAACCTCAGACAAAAATTTGGAATGTATTTTGCTGCTTGGTGAAATGAGTCATTAGACCTCTTGCATGTCATCCAAAATAAAGCAAAGGAAAAGAAGCATTTCTTTTCCTATACAATTGATCAAGGAGTTCACTTCAAAAGAATGTGATGAAAAGACAGACAGAAGTGATCCTTATTTAACGACCACTCATTCAGCAACTTTTCAAACTTATGACAGCACTGAACGAGTGGTAGTTATGACTGGTCCTCAGAGTTCTGACTATCACAGCATCCCATGGTCACGTGATCACAATTTGCAACCTTCCCTGCTGGCTTCCCACAAGCAAAGTCAATGGGGAAGCCAGTAGGAAGCTGGAAGGTGAGGTCACATGAGGTCCTCACTTAACCCATAACGGCAGCCAGGACTTCTGGAATTATGGACACTAAATGGTGTAGGCACGTGATGTCGCGCTTTAAAACCGCATCACTTAGCGATGGTAATTCCAGTCCCAGTTGCCATCATTAACCGAAGACTACCTGTGCAATTTCAACAAGTTATAGTGACATGCTACAATATCCCACAATACTGACTTTAAAAATATAGTCAGTTAAAGCCATACCCTGAATGTGTTCTGTATCAGGATACTGCATTTAGTTAGTGGGATATGGGTGCATTTAGTTAGTGGAATATGGGGGAAGTATGTTGGTCTGCAAGGTAGTTTCTATTTTGCACAAACTTCGGGTAAAATTGGGCTTTGATGGTACTTATGGCACATTGACCAAATGTGCTACACTGGCTGATATTGTCCTTACCGTTAGCATGTGACATATTAATGCTACAACCAAGGCTGGTAATCTAATCTATGTCTTTATTTTACTGAAAACTGCAGTGTGAAGCCTGAATTGACCAAAATTATTACAGACAGTAGAAGTCAATATTTAGGGACCCATCTGGGGACTATCATGACACATGGAATATTTGTGACTTGGAATGGAAGTAAATGGTAAAGAACATAAAATGCCCAATCATCCCTCTAACTTCTGAAAGTGGGCTGGCATATCCTTGTAGTATTAAGCAGGTTGTCTAGGTTGGCTTTTCCCAGTCAAAGCATCTTTACCTGACAGGTGATTTTCTTGAAAGTTTCCTACCTATCTTAATAATTGTGTTTGATTTGACAGGCTGAGAAAAAAGCGTGAACATTTTAATAGCAACATGGAGGCAAAGGAAAATCCCTCGTCTTCTCATTTTCTTGGTGCAGTAATGGAAGAACACAGTTTAGAAGAAAAAGTAGTAATCATCTCTCTTCCGATCTGCATTTTGGGATTCACAGGAAATACAATTCTTTTATGGCTCCTCTGCTGCAGGCTCAAGATTAAATTAAGTCTGTATTTTGTGTGTGTGGCAGTCGCTAATATCATTTTAATCTTCTGCTTCCTTTTTGAATTTGTTTTATTTTTCACACCACTGAATATCAGTTTAGTATTTCACCGTGTATTGCATATTTTGCATTTCAGCAGTTATCACACTAACTTTTATATCTTTACAGCTATCGCTGCTGAAAGATGGTGCACTCATTTTTTCCCTGTTTGGTACAAACAACATCGGCCCAAGAATTTCTCAGCCACCGTGTCCCTTTCTTTGTGGGGGTTCTCCTGGCTGGCATCATATGTGAACTATTATGTCTGCTCTCCAACAATAGAAGTACACTTCCATGACATTGACAGTTGTAAAACTTCAATCATAATAGAAATCATCACTGGATTTATTTTTTTTCCAAGTATGATTTTTTTTACTTTGGGCATTTGGATTAGAATTCAGATGAGACGAGAGGGAGCTCCTCTAGCAAGACTTGATATCACTATTGTGGCCACGGTTCTTCTGCTTCTGATGCTGAATGTACCAACTAAATTAGCTAAGGTCTTAATGTACTGGGTCAGAGGCATAGATGGCTATGTGCTGGGTAACATTTGCAGCCTATTGGACTCTATCAGCAGTTCTATCTGCCCTTTGATATATTTCATGGTTGGGTGTTGGAAGAAGCAGAAAGCAGCAGAGTCTTTCCTTACGTTTTTTGTGATAGCTTTGTCAGACAACACAGCCGTGGCTGTAAAAACAGAAGCATGCATAGAGCAGACTTAAAAATACAACAACCATAGGCATAGAAGAATACTGATTTCTATGCTGCAGAATAAATTCTTTACAAATATTTTATGCACTATTGATTTCTAGCACATGCCTCTGTATTCTATGCTATGCCCTATAATGCACCACACCCTCCATCCTGGCATTAGGGCAGAAAAAGGAGATCCTACGGAAGAAATTGAGAGGACTCTACCCAAAACTTCATGCAGGAGGCAAAGGTGACCAAGCCACAAAAAGGACAAGTGTCCTATATTGCAAAGGACAGTCTTCTATCAGAAGGGCTGTCTAGTTCGGGACTATTTTAAAAAGAACCGCAAGAAGCAAAACAGAGACCTCAGATTGCTCCTCCACAATGAGAGCAGGACAATAAATGGAGCAAATGAACAAATCACATTGTGATGGTATTGCCAGTATGAAAATTATATTGTGCATGTATATAAAACATATGTATATAAAACAGTACATGCAAATCTCATGGAAATTTGTACAATTCTTTGTGGGTAGAGAGGGGCAATGCTTATGGAGCCATCAACTGAGCCACCACAGACTAAACTTGATCCTTCTTAGAGTGGTCAATCAATGAAAATTCTAAAGAAGAGAAAGAAATATAGACAATACAATCAGACTGCTGAGAAAGGTAAGCGGTCCCCCAATGCCAAAATATTAAAAGTGACATAAAAGTGAGGATTCAGAGATGCTCTTTAAAAAAAAAAAAAAACTAGCTAAGTACTCTGCTATAAAAGTATAGCTTGAATGATTACTAGTTGAAAACAGCATCCAGTGTCTCTGGGATTCCCAGTCATTTGGGGCCAGTGGCCTTAACCATATCTGAAATCTTTACTTTGTTGTAGGTGCGCTCAGAAAAGGGGGACTTGCCCATTCACAAAATGATTATCATGGTAAACAGGACCCCTTGCAAAACCTGCTTTTCAAGAAGGCAAGCTAGTGAAGTTAAATATACCTACTCCAAGCATTCAAGAACCAGGCAGAAGTAGCTTCTGAGTTCAAAATATTAGGTAGAGCCCACAGTGTTCTACTCCAGGACCCATTTCACAAAAGGCAAACTGATGAGCTTCAGAGGTAAGTAACTGGCCAAGAATGAGTTTAGATAGGTGGGATCTGAACCCCAAATTTCAAAGTACAGAGTTATTTCTACAAAACATAACACAGCCTTCATCAAAAAAAACTGGTAATCACTGAGAAATACCTTCCAGCCCTACATGCAGGAACATCCTTGAGGGAAAATATGCAATACCAAAAAGCCAACTAAAAAACCAACAAAACAAACACTATGCCCCGCCCAAACCCAAGGAAAACAGATATACTGTAAGAAAATATATGAGTAAAACTCTCCTTGTTCTCTTCAGCTTCTCAGGAAGTTCTTTGCCACCGGCTCTGGCTCTCCAGGATGCTACAGCTTAGCAAGCAATCAGCTACAGTAGCAAGCTGACATTTTTATTTTCAAACTGTAGAGATCATAAGGAGCCTAAACACGTTCTTGGAAATCAAGATCCTGGAGGGTGATGTTTCATTTTTCAGTATACCCACCTCTTAGTAACACATTAAAAAAAAAAAAGGAAAATAAAAAGCAAATGGGAAAACTAGTAGTTGTCTAGTGATGTCCAAAGCCTCACTGATGCCTAATTGCACAATACTGGGGATCTCAGCAATACATCGCACTTTTATAGTGTGGCTGACAGACACATTACCAGTAGGTCATACACGATGTGATGTGTCTGGGGCTATGACAACCTAGTCAATTATGCCTGGTCAACAAATCACAATAAACCATGGAGAGCTAGAACTAGTGGTAAAGAGCTTCCTGAGAGGCTGAAGAGAATGAGAATGTTTTACTCATATATTTTCATACAGTATGTCTACTTTCCTTGGGTTTGGGGTGGGGTATTTGTCCTAATTACAAGGGAACACAAAATGGAGCAGAAGCTTATTTGCAATCTATGCTAATACAATTTAGCAATTCAGCTGGAATTAAATTCAGTAGGGAGTCACATGGAGGATGGCACTGCAATTAACTGTTGGAACGTGAAGGAAATCTGCCAGAGTTTTCAACAGGAACAAAATGGCAAAAATTGATTCAACTGTAGGGCAGACAGGCAGCAGTGGATATAAATCATTATCATTTCTCATTAAAAAGAGCAAATGTAGAAAAGTAACACACAAAGCTTCATGTATCAGGAGTAATTCCATATAAAACAATGTAGATTAAAATGTTTTATTAGGAAAAAAAAGATGAAATGGAGCCATATATAAGAACCAGCAATACTAATACAAATTAAAATAAGACTACTCTACACATTCCAAACTGTAATTTAATTTTTTTAAGAACTACTTATTAATATGGTTGCCTTTGGTTTCTGAACTGTATATTGATAAACCAGAAAAGAACCCTCTTAACAATAAATAAAAATTAAGTCATGCTGGCCCTGTCTCTTTCATATTATAGATCACCTATTCCAGTTTGGAAAATTAAGATAGACTCTGTGCTCAAATCAAGATAAAATCCATGATGAAACAGATTCAGAATGATGCCTCTTTGAACATCATTAAACTGTGGTTAACAGTTGCTGTGAGGTCACAGGATTCTCATTCTGTTGGTTGGTACATACATCATCGCAGCCACGTAGGTCACAGTATTAAATCTTTATGATGAATTAGAAGCATAATCAAAGACAGTTGAAAAGAATATGGGGGTGTAACTATGGTAGCATTTACTTTTCTATCTTTCTACTTTGATAAACACATTTATTAACTTCATCAAGTGACTATTTAACAGGCATTCTAGGAATTTGCGAACATAATCCCAAATGTATTCTATATATTTATTGTAAGAATATTTAACCAGTGATCACACTGTTAAAGAAATTGCTGCATCAAAAATAGAATTGCTCCTTACAATACCTGGGAGGAAGTCTGGAACTGAGGCAAATGAAAATAATCTTTTCTTTTCTTCAGTGTTTTCTCCAGAAACAAGTTTAATGTGTTGACCTCTCCTGTCTTTGCTAACCCTGTTTGCTATTCTTCAAGAGGAATTCTGTATCTGCTTCAGAGAGGCAGAGTTAAAATTTGATCTGCAAGTGACTTGGATAGGTAGTCTCTTCAGGCAGATACTGATAGGCTCCGATACAAGTGATTATACATAATCAGTGTCTTAACAGATGTTTGCTGGGCAGTTCCAGCATATGTAGCGTAAGAATGGCGATTCTGTAGTCTTCCCTAGCATCCCTTTCCTTTGCCAGTTTTTGACTGTTGATAATACCTAAAGGGTTACTGGTTACTTTCCTCAGCAGTAGCATGAGAGGTATCAATTCAATTAGCATTGGGCTCCAGTCCAGCACAGAAATTGTGAACGATCTGATCTCTAGAACCTGTAGCACTTCTGTTGTTTGCTGGTTGCTCTGGTTCATGTGGGAATCAATGGGCATGAGCGGGAACATTTAATACTTAAGCATAAACCTAGATATTATACTCAGAATGCAATACTGGTTCATATACTGTTATTACATGCTGAAGTGGCTACTTCTGAACAGGAGACCTTGCATGTTGTAATTTTGTTCTGGGAAAGCCATTTCATTAAGAAATGTGAGAGACTTTACTGCACGTTTGTTGATTTAGATAAAAGTGTATTATAAAATAAACAGGCTTGGTCCCTTCACTCTCAATGATATTAAGAGTGATTTCTATATTTGAACAACCATCTTATCACCAAGAAAACTATTTGGAAGGTTATATAGAAATCTGGTCTGCATAAATAATTTATCAATTTAAATTCCTTTTCTTTCCTATTGTTAGGTGAATGGACAAATATTAATAATCATATAACATGATACAGTCCTCATTTAGCAACTGTTTGCAGTTACGACAATGATGAAAAAGTAGCTTTATAATCATTTATAACCTTTACAGGTCTGTAAAGCAAAGGAAAGCTGAAATAAGATCATAAGCAGTCATGGTTTCACTTAGTGACCACTTCACTTAATGACTGAGTTGCCAATCCCAATTGTGGTCGCTAAATGAGGATTAATTATAGTTTTGTGTCATACATGAGAACGTTATGTTTTGTGGAGTCTCTTTCTCCTTTTTGCAATATAACATAAAATCCCATAAGCACAGGTAACTCCTGTCTGTGTGAGCAGAGTCTATACTGTAATAATGAGAAATTGTGTTTGGTCTTGACAGGTTGAGAAGATTTACTAAGCATGTGAATAGTCTTGTGCCAGAACAGATTAGCAACTTGTCATTCCATATATGCTGACCCAGCGAATGAAAATGAGACTGAAGTGGCACAGACTCCACACCACACTGACATAAGCAATGATCCTCATTGCTATTCCAATCAGCATTTTGGGAATAGTTGGAAATATAATGGTTATTTTCTTTCTTTCCTTTAAGATTAAGAAGACCATGTTCACTGTGTATGTCCTAAATATAACTATTGCTGATTTTAGTATCCTAATCTATTTATATACTTATTTTATGCTATTTTTAAAACCAAGTCTTATCAGTGCCTCTGTTTCCTATATAATAGAGCTTATATATGCAGTTGGATGCAAATCCAGCTTGTATATATTAACAGTTCTCTGCCTTGAAAGGTATTTATCTGTTTTTTTCTCTACCTGGTATCACTCTCATCGGCCAGAACATCTTTCAGTTTTTTTTGTGACCACATTGTGGACCTTTTCTGGCCTGGTATCGCTTGTAGAATACTTTGCTTGCTATCCAAGGTTCTATATATACTTGAATGAAAATACTTTACGTTGCAGAATCATAAATCTATTCCAAGTATTTTTTGAGTTCCTGATTTTTATTCCCATCATGGTCTATTCCACTTTGGCCATTTTTATCAGAATGCAGAAAAAAACACAACAAACTCCTCCAGCAACACTTGATATTTCCATTACAGCTACTGTTGTTGTTTTTCTTGCATTTGATGTATCAGTTAAAATTCTTAATACTATTGAATTTTGGTTTGATGCAATACACGTACCAACATTTTCAGTGGCAGTATTATTTGACACCATAAGCAGCAGTATCAACCCTTTTATGTATTTTATTATTGGAGGCTTTATGAAAAGGACTTTGGATCCCCTTGATTGTTTCCTTGAGAAAGCTTTGCAAGATGGTACTTTGCAAGAAGGAACTATGGTAGAGGGAACACAAACACACCAAGAACAACTCCCCCAATGACCCTAGAAGCCAAAGAATTATCCATAGAAGAATACCGTATTGACTTACATTCCCAGCTCCAGAATAAAGGTGTCCTAGATAATTTATTTTATGGTTCATTATTCCTTCTGTACCCACCCAGGCCCATTAATAAAACCAGCCAAATGCTTTATTTGGCTCACAGCTCCTTGTCTATTCCTGCCATACAAAAAGTCAGAATCAAGAAGTTGGAGGTCAGGAAAGAAAGGTTCCGCTGGGGAGAGAACTTTAATTCTGCAAAGACTTTGCTGCAGTTATGAACTATGAGACTGAGAGTTCCCAAAGCAGGAAGTAAATGTTGCTAACAGTAACAGGTAATGAGAAGTATCTGTAGACTGCCACTACATAAAGAAGATGGCAAGAAGGAGAAGAGAAAGCTGTGCAGTCAAAGGAACCTGGATGGAGTGGAAGGAAAAATCTACAGATGGGAATACAGTAGTATTCGTATAGCCTGAAGACTGACAGAGGAAGTTTATGTTCAAGGAAATGGTATTCAACCCACAGTTCCATCAGGAAAATTTTGACAGGTACTAAGCGATAACATCTTGATTCTGAGTTACATACATTGAGAAAGCACAATTATTTATCTTTAGAATACAATGTACTACGTTGAAGGACTTCAGTCTAATTAGAACACAAGGGACAAATTTTCGCAAAGGAAAAAAAAATCTCCCAGCTTTCTGGATTTTCTGTGTTAATATCCTAAACTATTTATTTATTTGAAATTTTTTACCTATAATGTCTCAGTACTGAAAGGCTCTGGCTGATGTAAATTTAAAAACAGACAAAATATTAAAGCTTTGCCTAATAAAACAAGGATAAAACCAGCAAATGGTAAGCAGTGCAGCACCAATTTAAAAAATCAAGCTCAAATCAGAAGCAAAAATAGATTAAAAAAAACAACAACAGAGAACAGTTCTTAAAATAACTGGTAGAATTAAAAACAATTCTTCAGCTGACAGAAAAATACTAAAGAAAACAAAATCTGGCATTGGGTAAGCATCGCTGGAAAAAACACAGGAGACAGAATATTCAAACACTTCATAGGACAGAGTTTAATGCTATAACAAAAATGAAGACTGTGCCTTTCATCTCTGCCACTTTACTAGAGCAAGTAGGAGAGATCCTACCATAGGGGTGAGAGAAACAGGAGCAGGCATGTCCACATGGGGTGGGGGTAGTCAATGAAGTCAAAATGGCAGTTGTGACCATGGACTTCAAGTCCCGCCCTTTTTGACATATGTTGCAACACCCATAAAAAGGGGCTTTGATTGCACAGTTGTGGTTGCTATCTTAATTTTTTTGACCTTCACCCACAAACATCTCTGGACAGGTAAAGGTAAAACTATTTGGAGAACCTGCTGCATTTGTTACTAAACAAGGTATGCCTCAGATGGCATGTTCAATTACATTATGAAACTGGATACTGTGACATTTATTTAATGGTTTTATAGGGCCACCTGATCCAATAAGCCACTTGTGAATAGCTGTGAAGATATCAAACAGCTTCACATAAGTTACATTTTTCTTTAAAACCAGAAAGAAAAAATATAGACAGTTATTCCAGTCCCAGCCAGGAAGCCAGACCTATTCTACTCCAATGTTTCTCCCTGTTATATTACCTTTGAGCTTCAAGGTTGAACCAAAGCTGGTTCGCAACTCTGAGAGGAATCCATGTTGATTCCAAGGGGTTCCAGCTGACCACCTTGCAAAAGAGGTCTTTCGGAACTAAGCCCCAAAGCTAAACCACCACATAAACAGATTCCTATTAAATATGCCAACTTCTACCTTCTGCAGATTCCACTGCAACCTGAATCAAAGGAAAGAACTTTGTCAATGTTGGTACCTCAAATATGCAAAATTATCACCACACAGAAGTTTAATTAAAGGCTACTCCGTTGTGCTTTCAGAAGACTTTTTATTCTAGTCCTTCAGATTGACTTAGCTTTTAAGATTTATCTGACAGTAAATGCCAATATCCTTTTCTTTCTATTCCTCCTAAGAATTGGCCACTAGAGGTTGCAGGGAGGGGGAGGATCTGTAAATGTTGCCATTTCCTTTCTGCTAGTGGGATCCTGGCTAAAGCCAAGTCCCTTCCATTAATAAAAGGCCTGTATTTAGCTAGCTTTGTTAATTTTTTCTTTCAGTATTCCTGGATGAAAGGGAGTAACAAAAAAGTCTTTATTAGGTACTCCAGGACTAGCTAAGGTAAATAGAAAAAGCAAATAAAATACAAATAACATTGTTCTGACTGGCTCAGCTTGCATCTACCCTACTCCGACAGGTGCGTTGAACCCTATTCATGCAGGGGATTGGAGGAGGCAATTATTCCCCATGAACAAGGAGAAGAAGGCACAGCTTCTTGGGATATCAAGGACAATTGATGCATAAGTGTATTTTTAATACAATTTCACATACTGTCCCTACACCCAGCTTTGGATTAATAAGACTGCTAAATTACACACATTTTATATTCTGACTTATTGCTTCTTTTTTTCCATGTTTCGTTTTGTACAGTCGTAACCCACCATTATAATTGTATTCGAAGCAGTTAAGTATTTTAGATGACATTTTTTCATGGCAAGGACTTAAGGTTTTACTATATACTTAGAAAGGAAGAAAAACTAAATACCATATTACTAAATTAAATTACATTCTTGAATTTTTCTTTAATGCAAGGTGGATGGTCTAGTTTTTGGATAAACAACTACACAAACTGGATTGGGTATATCCTTCTGCAGAACAATATACAATTGCCATGTTAAATTTGGTGTTTGGAAAACTCACTCAACCTGCATAATAAATAACTAGTCTCAGAGCTTCTAGCAGCACCTGACAGTATTCCTTCTCTGTTTTGATCCTTTCACTGGAAAGAAGGTACAGACTGTGGCCTTTACTTTGGGGCACAATGATAGTGCTGTTCGGAAAATTATCTTTAGTGTGGAGAGACACTGGCACTGACTTGGAAAGGGGCATTCAGCAATATTCAAACACCCTCTTTATAGTTTACAGTTTTTGAATTTTTTTTCCTTCTTGCTGGCAGAGATAGAACACCATTTCTGAAGAAAAATGAACAGAGATTGGAATGGATGAAGAGCTGATAGTGGGCTATGAGTATCAGTACTAAACTGCTTGGTTGTGTAAGGTCATATCAGCTCTCATAAATATAACAGCATTTATGTTAGCTGAAACTTGGAAATATTGAAACAATTTACCAAAGACAGATGTAAATGTTATTCAAAGCTATATGCAACAGCCGTGATGACTGGTGGTTTAACACTGCCTGCCCTGACCACAGAACTCTGGGTTCAGGACTATACATTTGAGCTTAAAATAATTACAGGAATTCTTGTTTTTTTCTCAACTGTAAATAGAAAATACATTCAAACAGCATAAGCTTTTTCAAAAGCTGTCCCTTCACATTCTTTGAGTGAACAAGAAAAAGGGATGAGGTTGGCTCTATTGCAGCTCAGCAAAGCTATTCTTTCCTGGAGAAGAAATTAGGAAGTAAAAAAAATCCAGAGATTAGGGCAATGATGATATATCTGTTCTGCATTTGGATGTATTCTGGGTCTCCTAGGACCTTTTACAGCTTAAGATCCAGACATTAGATGCTATTTTTTCTCCTATCTCAACTTTCCTGTATTACAGAGGTAATCTTCTGAGGCTCTCACCATGAAAGGTTAGCTGTATGGTGACCAGAGTGCCTTGTATGTTGCATGTCTCTTCAAGAACTGCCTACATTGCTAATAGCCTTTTGATACCAAGTAGAATTATTCCAATTCTTCCAGAATTTTACATCTATTTGTGTAGTTTGTATATTAAATTGTTTTGGGTTCTCCAGGTTGCTTCTGTGAGGTGCCCTTGAAGGTTCATATCCTCCTTGAAAAGAAAGGGTGGGAGGAAGGAAGGTTGCTCAGTGCTGGAAAGACTGAGCGTAAGTGGCTAGCACAAAATATTTTGTTCAATACTTATGCTGTAAGAAAATCCTCAATATCTCTTCCCTCCCTCCCTCCCTCCCTCCCTTCCTTCCGTATTTTTTCATAATGAAGAAGTTTGCCTTTCACTGCATCCTATTTAACAAAGTTCTCCTTCTTCCCACATTAGGAACCACACAACTTTGGGATCATTGCAATGCAGAATATTTTAATCTATCACTGTAAAGCTTACATTGAGAAAAAAAGAGGAGACCAGGAAGCTGCAGAAAAGCATTTCCAGTGGATGAGCTGTTACACACGACAACTAGAAGAGCCTCCAAGCAAGAAAGCCAGCAGAGACCAAGAGGCCACAATGCCACATATTCTGAAAGGGCATAAACAATAAACATAAATGCAATTGTTCCAAAGCCAAACAACATCAAGAGTTAACAAGCTTAGTTCTTCCTGCCACAGGTCTTATATTCAGTTTCACTTGACCTTATCATTCAAAATGGGTGATTTAATGAGATGGGCATTACACAAGGGTTTACATAATCCATGCTTTAGTTATTGTTTAAAACCAAATAATTCCCAAATCGGCTTTTAGCATAAAAACCTTTCAAATATATTCATATTAAAATAAGCAATTTTAAATAAAACCAATTATAATCTAACACAGTCTCCCCTTCACACCTTTATCCACTTTCTCAGTCTCTGTCTCCACCACTTGAAGTAGCAAAATAAAATGAATACATATATAAAAAGATCTCATGACCTTTATCTGCCTTCCCCAATCAGATTCTTCCAGGTATATTGGAATATAGCTCACTTCAGCCTCAGCCTGTGCAGCTATGGAGGCTAGAGATGAGAATTGTAGTTCTTCAGTCCAGAGCAAATATGCCTGCATATTCAATGAGCATTAGAAAGTGGCTTCACGAGAACTGTGCTCAAGAGCGCATTGTTAATAATCCCTAAGGTAAATTCTGCACTCTTTCTACTCTGATTCCCTTCTACCCTCCTGTAGTTTTAAGCACTATATTTCATTGAGGCTATGAACTTTTGCACTACACTGCACTTTTGCACTGCACTTCAGCTTTTGCACTGATGAGATCATAATGGTATTCCACAAACAGAGCAACTGGGGATGGAAGTATATTTTACCATTTCAATTGAGCATCTTGAGTAATTAAGCTCCTAACTGATGCTACCCAGCAATGAAAACTTAACAGTTACATACATTCAGACATAGTCTGAGCATTATCTCATATGTTTCAGCTGGCAGAAAAGGTAAGCGGACCAGTGTATGTCATACTGGTCTCTTGCTGCAGTTGTTCTATCACCAATTACATGTACATCTGAGAATGTGAATCTGTGCAATTCTCAATGAGCTTTTAATCATTATTTCAGAGGTTGCTAGATGAAAGGAGAAGTGGAAAGAAATCACACCAGACAAGTGTAGTACACTTTTCTTGAAGAACGTGTATCTAATGGAGCAGCTGCAGCCAGGTGCAGCAATGCAACAACTCAATCATTTAAGCAGTGGCAGATTTTTGCAACAACACCCAGATTGAATTCAGATAAATTTTTAAACTACTGTTCCAAAAGGTAGTATAAAGCCAAGCTTTCTTACTGTAGGAAGCTAGTCACTTGTGGAGAATGCCTCCAATGGTGGTACACAGAAATCTGCAGATTGGGATGAGCTTTATATTCTTTCAGAACTATCCTGGTGCTGTAAGAATAATTTGAAGAGAAAGTTCAGCTTGCCAGCTAATAAAGAAGAAGGCTTCATACAACCAAACAATAGCTTTGCTACCAGAAGGGGCAGGTGCTGATCAATGCTGGAGAATTGCTGGCTCAGTTGGTGGTCCTCTTGCCTACAAAACAAGCCACACTCATAAGCCAGGGGAGGTGAAAACAGGACTTAGGAAGCCAGTCAGAGAACGATGGAGCTCAGCCTTTTCTGACTGATGGCCAACCTACAGCCACCTGATTTACCTCCATGTCAACTTTACCAAAACATGCTTGCTCACATTCCCACAGCACATTAGCTCTCTGTCCTGAGGAAGGGAAGATTCCATCTTCCTCTCAGGCTGCCACCTTTTCCTTTTTCATTGTTCTTTTCCAGCCAAAGCAAAAGACCAAGAGGAAGAGCTCCACAGCAACTTCTCCTCTTATTTCCCAGGCCCTCAGCCACATTCCCTTTAAGCCCATTTTTCATTTCCCTATCTTGTTTTTAGCAGTGATAAGTAAAAGTTCAAACATGGCACTAAAATATAATGTGCTTGGCTCAGTTTTGCGTTAATAGATTTATGAACCTGTCCATTCTAGCAAATAAGCCATGGCTTCTTCAACAAATAATTAAACCACTGGTGATAGAGGAAATAGCTACAAAAGAAGGGCTCAGAATTGTTGAGAAATTACCAATAACTCTAACAAAGTTGCTTTGTGTGAGATGGGCGGCTATATAAATGTGACATATAAATAAATAATTAAACAAACAAACTTGTTCTTATTCTTTGAAGTTGTAAGAAGTTTTGTACTGAGATGGGAAAAGAGAAATATAAGTAGCTGAAGAAGTTGAGAGGGAAAGAAAGGTTGAGACACTAATGGAATTTGAAATGTTAAAGAACTTTAAATATGGGGTGTACTATCTAGAAATTTCTAGATAGTACACAACTGGAAAGTGAGACCATTTGAAAGAAAATCAAGATGTAAGGATGATAGATCACAAGATGTTAGTGTATGTAAAGATAACTTTATTTAAGATTTATCCATCTTATAAAGATGTTCGAAAGATTAAGTCTTACGTGACTTGGGAAGAAAGACAATATTACTCATAGAATCTTAGAGTTAGAAGGGATCTTGGAAGGGATCTAGTTCAACCTCCTGCTCGGTGCAGGATCCACTGACAGGTGACCATCCAACCTCTGTTTGAAAATCCCCAGCAAAAGTGAACACACCAGTGGCAGCCTGCTCCACAGTTTGATAGCTCATGTGGTCAGAAAGTTGTCAATTCAGGGACAATTGGGATTTTAATCACGTACTCTTTAAATTTATTGGAGAGCAAGAGAAACTGGTTCATTCCTAGCCGCCGGACATCAAACCTGCAGAGGGTCCGTAACTCTTGATAAATCTGCTCTTCAGTTACCCCAGGCCACCCCTTCACAGTAGCTACTAGGAGGGGGGGACGCTGTGTAGGGACATCCACATCAGAAAAATTCTGAGGAAATAATAAAGCAAGGTTTTCAGTTACTGAGAGCACTAGAAAGATGTTCCAGATTATTAGTTTAAGTATTCTGACATTTTATACAAAACAGATACCCACTGTATGGTGATGTGAATTGAGAATTAATGTAAATGTTAAGAAAACAGTTATGATAGTATCCCTTAAATGCTGTCTTGCTTTTAAATGTAGTACTAACATCTTGATGGCAACATCCAGTCCAATGACCTTGGCTGATCTAAAGGAAATGTTGGTCAACACTCACATGGAAAACAAGCTGGAAATCCCAGAGCTACAGGTTCGAATGAAAAGTTTAAAAAACATCCTGGAAGAAGGTAACAGTGAACCATTTCTTTCGATACTTGTGATGCAATACCTAACAGAGCCTGGGAACACAAAGGAGGCATCAAGGCAATGAAGGGAGGAAGCAGAACTATTAGAGAAGAGATTTAGAGTCCACGGCATGGGGAGAAGTGTGAGAAACGGACTCAAAGTAACTGGTTAGCTTGCTTGCTTGCTTATTTATTATACTTGTATGGTTGCTCATCTTAAGAGACACAACTCTGAACAGCTCACAACAGTCAAAATAGCTAGCTAGATAGACAGACAGACAGACAGACAGACAGAATAAAAGCACAAGGAAAAACTTGGCACATCAGCCATTCTCCTCCAATGCAACGAGGTATTACACTACACATAAGTTGATCTGGAGAATTACTTTGGCAAGCTTTCAAGATTCTGTTACATTACCCAACTAACAATAAAGATCTTTTCAGAAATCCAAGTGGTTCTTGTTTTCTAAGCTTGGCAGCTTTGCAGGCCTTGACGATACTGCTGCAAAAAGATTGCATGGCCTTATCCAGAAAATGATCAGGAATTGAGTATGACTCAAAGGCATCATACACTCACAGAATGCAATGGTTGGAAGAGATCTTGGAAGTAACCTAGTCTAACCCCCTGCCCAGGGCAAGACTCTACTACTATAGCAAAATCTTTACTCTTTTCAATAATGCTCTATATGGTTGGGGATCCTGGATTTAATATTCAGGGCAGGTGAAAAGATACTTGTGGACTATAGTTCTGCAAATTTGAAATGTAAATTTGAAACAATTAAATATATTAAAAATCAATGTTCTTGGAACATAAGTTCATTATATGGCTATAATGTGAATTTTTAAAGGAAACTTGCTTAAAGAAATAAATAGCTGACTAATCTCATGAGTCTGTAACTGAGGATGGCAATGTAGCATCAGTATATTTCCCACTGAACTCAAGGGGTCATTTGATCCCCTTCATTTTTTAAAAAAGTTAAACAATGGAGTTGGCTAAAATATTTAAATATTGAGACCTCAAAGCAAAGCAGGAGTCTCCTATCATCCCCATCCTCTTTTCCTTATCATATCTTTTCTATGGGGAAAAAGGGTACATTGCTGCATGCTGAATTTCTGTCCAGCCACATTAAAAACTAAAAAACAAAGAGGGAATGGAGGAAAACAAAAAAGCATCTGGGACATGGGGGGGGGGGGGGGGGAAAAAAAAAAGAAAAAAAAAAAAGG